GGTACAATAGTAATGAACAGATAATGGTTTCATGGAAAGTTGTGTGTTAGTTTTTGTTATTATTGTTGTGTAAAAAAGAAAAGGAGGCCTGAAATTTACACTTTTTTTTTCATTTATAAGCGCCAATTTTATGAGGCAGCGCTTCTCCGTGCGTTTTGCAAAGCTTGAAACTTTTCGACTGAAACAGCAACGAGCAGTGACAACCACTGCGTCATCGGCTTCCATACCAACTGTGATTTTCTCAACTATTTGCATCATAAAACTACCACAAAGCTCAACTAGTGCCACGGTGCTCAACGTGACTCCTCGGCAGACAACGAGTCTTTATAGGTCCTATTCCGAAACAATTTCAAGTACTAGTGTAGCTAGTACTTAAAAGTAGAGCCCTTCCTTACCATAGGAAATTTCTAGGCAGAATTGTGAGTTGGGCCAGTTAGTTGATGTTTATCGTAGAATATTTTACAGCCCTACAGGTTACAGACAGACAGAGCTGTGTTCCTTCTCTGTCTGTGTCTAACACAGTGGGCTGTAAAATATTTTAAGGTGAATTCCTAGGCTTGACTGTGCCTGGAGCTGTCCACGCGTTTCTACCGCGTACCTAACCCGCAATCCTAGGTTTAAGAGACCTATGCCTTATCCACTAGGCCATGAGGGCTGTATGGAGCTGTCGAAGTTTAGTATTGCGCGATAGTGTCCCTAGACACAGTTAGCAGCTTGAATGACGGTGCGGACATCAGCTGTTGCAAAAAAGGCTTTAAGATTATGCCGTGAACCAGAAAAGAAATAAAAAGGAAGCTTTTGAGCCGGAATGAAAACCAATGATTCTCTGTGATAGTCAACGCCAGACCGCTCAGATTAAGGATGGAAGACCTCGTCTCTCAATAGCCTCCCTGGTCTGCTGAATAGCCCAGGTTTGGTCTTCTAGTTCGGATCTGCGCAGAATTGTACGAGACCACTCCAAGAGAGGTTCTGGGGAGTCTGTGCCTTCTCGACGAAACTGAAAGCGAGCCGAGAACTAATATACTCATTCTGCTCGTATCACTATATTCAAACGCCATTTTGTGGTCTGTTGTGATTTTTTTTCCTTGATGCTTCGCTCCTTGTTTAGTGTTTAAATTACGGTAGGGTGGGCAGGCACTGAACTTGAAATAGGTGTGGTGAGAAATAATACAACGGGTTCGGAAACCACTGCTCCACCTTACGCTGTGACTGTGACTTGTAATCAGCACAGGTCTGGAGACAAAACTGGGAATAATTTCTCAGAAATAGGTACTAAATAAAACATTCTTGGTTGATATTTGCCAATTTACCCTTATATCTGGGGTCCCTCGTCAATGCATGCAGAAAGACTTCAAAATCTAAATTGATAATAGCAGCGTATCATGTGTTTTCTTTCATTAAAAAGGAGGCTTCTACTGCCTTGATAGCGCTGAAGCAACCTAGTTCCATCTACCATTCACTTGGAAGAGGTCACAACGCAAAAGAGCGTGTTCCGCAGAATGTTCGTTTCTTGCATCAATAAAGAAAGTGGGCGTTTCGAGACATAATCAACCTCATTCACTCTTGCGAGACGCGATGTCTTCTTCAAGATGCGTAGCAAGTCGCGCTTTCGATGACAGCCAACAGGGCACACAGCATATTCGCGAAGTTTTTTTTGTTACTACGTAGGATAATGAAATAATATCGTAGAGCCTTTTGAGTTGAAGCTCGCTCTGTTTTACTCGCATATTATTCGCCAGTATTTTTGCACTTCAAGAATCCCGTAACATTGCACGTGAGAAGCCCCATGGGTTTCTCAAACTGGCATTACTTAAACATAGGGTGATTTGTCAGCCACCAAGAAGTGCTGCTATGTAGAGCGCAAGTGTTGTTTCAGAGATCCGAAGATGCACTTGCTCCATGATAAGCACATAGCGGAAGTTCCAAATGCCATCCTTCGCTAATGTTCATCCCATGATTGATTTGATTTGTGGGCTTTCACGTCGCAAAACCACCATATGATTATGAGAGACGCCGTAGTGGAGGGATCCGGGAATTTCGACCACCTGGGGTTCTTTAACGTGCACCCAAATATGAGCACACGGGCCTACAACATTTCCGCCTCCATCGGAAATGCAGACGCCGATGCCGTGATTTGAACCCGTGACCTGCGGGTCAGCAGCCGAGTACCTTAGCCACTAGACCACCGCGGTGGGGCAATGTTCATCCCAGAAATGAGTGTAATCCTCGTACGTGTATGATAGGTGGCTGCACACAGCAAGCGGTAATGGATTAGAAAGCGCAGTTCTCTCCGTGTACAGGCGATAACATTAGTGAAGGCGAAACGCCTTCGCTAATGGCTTTCTGAGCGGTGTTGAAAGAAATGAAGTAAGTCCATATGCCTGTTGGGCCCACAATATCTGCACAGCTTGTAAAAATGCGAGAAGACGCAGATTTGGCTTCGAACGCTTGACTTGGCAGCCGATAGTTCATCGTGTTTTCTCTAGGTCTTTTCGTTTCCTTCTACATCCAGTAAAAAACCCTCTTTGCAAGATGACTTATTTCAACGCCACTCCGATAGCTAGAAGAAGACGTTTCTCCGCTGAAACACCTTTACAACTTTATATCACTATGTTATCGTTTGTACACTGAGAGAACTGTGCTTTCTAATCCATTACCGCTTGCTGTGAGCAGCCACCTATCATACACGCAGGAGGATACAGTCATCGCTGGGATCAACATAGGTGAAGGACGGCATTCGGAAATTCCGCTATGCGCTTATCTTGGAGAAAGTGCATCTTCGAATGTCTGAAACAACACTTGCCGTCTTCATAGCCGCACTTCTTGGTAGAGGACAAACCACCCTATTTTTAAGTAATGCCAGTTTGAGAAACCCATAGGGCTTCCCACGTGCAATATTACGAAATTCTTGAAGTGCGAAAATACTGACTAATGATATGCAAGTAAAACAGAGATAGCTTCAACTCAAAATGCTCGACGATATTTCATTATTCTACGTAGCTACAAAAAACCTCGCGAATATGCTGTGTACCCTGTTGGCAGCCATCGAAAGCGCGTCTTGCTACGCATCTCTAAAGATACATTGCACCTCGCGAGAATGAATGAGCTTGATAGCGTCTCAGAACGCCCGCTTTCTTTAAAATTGATGCAAGAAACGAACATTCTGAGAAACACGCTTTTTCGCGTCGGGACCTCTTCCAATAGAATCGTAAATTACCGGGTTTTTTATACCTTGTTTCAGTTTGCTATTTATCTGTTTCCTTCTGTACGTGTTCACGTTTGCTCAAGTGATCACTTTTTCGCTGCAGAACTTGCAGAAACGGAGAATCTTGCATGACATAGAAATCCTTGCTCGACATCAATCCAGGTAAAAGAACAGGACCGCGAATGAAAACAGAAAACAATTAACTGATAGCGATGCACTTGAGGAATATGTGAATAAGTAAGGCTGCCCGGCTTGTGCCAAATTGCAACACTAAGAAAACACCTCCGCAGAAAAGCTTAATATTCCTGTTTGGTGTCCTTCAATGTACATAAAATATTTCGACGTTGGCCACACGAGACAGCAAAAGTTGAGGCGCTAAAACCGTAAGAGGTCTACTTCAGAAAACCACGATATGATTCGATATGATTACGAGGTACCTTTGGGTGGCTCCAAAACATTGTTTGATATGTGGGGTTTAACGTCCCAAAAACACCTTTTGATTATGAGAACTGCCGTAGTGGAGGGCTCCGGAAATTTCGACCACCTGGGGTTCTTTAACCTGCACCCAAATCTGAGCCCACGGGCCTACAACATTTCCGCCTCCATCGGAAATGCAGCCGCCGAAGCCGGGATTAGAACCCGCGACCTGCGGGTCAACAGCCGAGTACCTTAGCCACTAGATCACCGCGGCGGGGCTGGATGGCTCCAAAACAATTAATCACTGTTGTTAGTGTGCACACAAATGCAAGTACACTGGCATCCATCATGAATAGTTTGACTTCTTTCTTTGGAGGCTCATGTGCTATAAGAGTGATTTGAGCGTGCTCTGTGCAACATCGTTCTCTGGAATCTGACAGTAAACCTAGAACCACAATAATAAAGTCGCTGAACTTCTCCATATTTAATTATTGCTTCCCAACTGAAGTAAGGTGTTGCGCAGCTTCATAAAAATAATTGCTTGTATCGATGACCCAGTATCATTTTCGATGAATTTCCACTGGATCACTTTTCTTCTACCTACTACGTATATATAAATTTGAATTTGAATAATCGTCGCTAGTGGTACACCTGCTGTATATTAAATTGTGTTACAGCGGAGCTTGCGGTCTCAGAAAAAGGCGTGGAATTGGCAATAAATATCAGAACATTTTAATACTAGACTGCTGAAAGCACCATTCATAAAAAAATACTGGCTCATGCAACTTTAATTTACCAAGCATCATTAAAACGATGGTTCGTAGTGTGCTATAATAAAATGAGAAGATGACCAAAAGGTCAGAAAGAATGGTAGCGCACTGTTCGCTATACTGTATACAAAATAGGAAAATAAAATGAAAGACGGAACGGAAGTCACGGAGAAAAGCAGACACGTGAAAAAAAATCCCAAACTAAGATGCGTAGAGAGAGCACAATAGCCTACTTAAGCGGAAACTTCCAAGAGAAAGTTAAATTGAGTCAATTTATTATTAGTTCGAAGCAAGGTCGCCTCGTCATTTCACACTGACAACTTCGACGGGTCTCTCTCAAAGCGGGACAACAAAGCAGCTAGGAGCAGTGTGTGTGGACCCTGATGAGGGCAGCGGCAAAACGCGGTCCACCGTTTCGTCGCTGCCCAAGTGGTCGCATGAAAGACTATTTTACATGGCGATTCAGAAAGTGAATTGTTTGGTGAAGCCGACATCACCAAAATAAATAGAAACAATGATTAGCGCACACTACAAACATCAGCTATGCAACAGCCTAATAGTTTTTTTACTTCAGTTAGTAAACTCAGCAGGAACTATAACTATAAAAAAAAAGGTTAATTTGCGTTTATTAGGACATCTCATAAATTAAGGATTGGCTTTCAGAATCATTTCAGCTGCTTTGTCGGCGATCATCATGGTTGGCACGTTGAGGTTTCCGGTGACTATTGATGGCATGACAGAAGCATCCACAACGCGCAGATTCTGGACACCTTTAACCCTGCAAAGAATAGCAGGACTCAAAAAGGGAGGCAATACAATAAGAAGCCTAAATCTAGCAAACTAGAGACATGCAGCTTAGTTAGGTGGTACGTATCACATGCGCTCTGTTAATGCATTTATCAACCAATCAGCTTTGGAGACATTGCAGATAACAATGGCACAGCATATCATGCCACAAGTGGGGAAGGGGCAAAAAAATTATGTATTTGCTTATGGCATATAAAGCGTGTTTCCAACATTGCTCTATACTTTTCTACAAAGAAAGCACACCCATGAGTGCTGAGTAAGTATGTTGGAAGAACTATCAATGGCATTGAATTGGCGGCAAGTGTCGTCGTCTTGTAGCCAGAGCTAGCTTTAGCATTCTTTCTTGTGGTGTATATCTATGCGTAATTGCAGGTGCATGAAGAAATAAATTTAGATGTGGTGACCCTGCTGCGATTTTGTAAATATCGGTCTGGTGTCACAAGGTCGAACAGAAAATTAGCGTTTTTTGTTGATGCGCTTGCACTCATTGTATAATACAGTATCCATGGTATACCAAGTACCGAGCGTGGGAGGTTCTAGGAAAACAGGTGCATTGTATGATCGACACAAAAGCAGAACTGCACAGCTGAATTAGAACAGAAACCCTGATACCTATATAAAAGATTCGAATGAAATGGATGAAGACGCGCAAAACGTGGGGAGAAAAATGACAAGTGTTTTCTTACTGAAGAATTAGAATGCAGGATGGGTGAGAAAACCAGTTACATTTGATTAAACCTTAGTTGAAATACAGGAGAAATAGACATGCGCTGGGAATCCAGCGAGATTGTAAGATTTGTGGGGGTCATCAAGTGTAACCGATTGAATTTATGTAAAGAAGAAGTGCGCCAGGGTTGGGCACAATATCATGTGGGTAGATAAGTTAAGAAACAAAACTATAATGTGGAGATGTTGTCATTTACTTAAATATAAAAGCTGGTAGGACCAGATATATTCGGAAACAGCTTAAAGGGGTGGTGCCACCAAATTTGTGGCATGCGTGTTTTTTGCTGTAAGGGTTTCCGTCGGCTCCAGGAAGCAAGATACACGCACCAAGAGTCGTGTGTTTTTCGCTAAATATTTTATACTGCTCTACTTATGTGGACCATTTTTGGTTTCACGTTTCGCGACGCCAAGCTTGGCAGTGACGTCGATGCATAGGTGGCTTGGTCACGTGACCATAGAAGGCTGTGACGTACATCTTGCCGAGTTTCGTCTGCTCTCACAGACGTGCCACACAAGCACCAGCAAAAGAAACGTGCTGACAGTCGTCGTAGCCAGCTGCAGTAGCATCCAGGCACTGACAAGACAAAAGGCAGTCAGAAAGAATCAATGCCTATATATTTACAACGTATGTACAGTACGCTGAAGGAGGCGGCGGCAGCCACGCTGTTAGACGCGCGCAGCGTCTCTGACGGATGCCTGCGTTGTTCGCAAAGGACGCGTAGAGTGTCTCTTCGAAAGAGCCCAGTGGCCTTGAGCGACGCGCACAGTATATCTGCAAAAGACACCAGCACGTTTGAAACAACAGCCTCATTTCGGAGAGGGCGGAGGTAATTCATGTCACTTCAAAACTGGTGTGACGTCACGACAACTGCCATTGCTTTTCCTATTCTGAAATGTTAGTGTTTCTGCGCAAGCGATGGGACTAGATTGCGAGAGTCATCAATCAGGTACACTTTTAGAAGTGAAATAAATATATATTTTACGCGTTTGTCAGGTCCAACCCTCCGTGTGGAGATTCCTTGCATACAGAGGAAACCCACAAAAGGCTTGTGGTAGCCTCGATATTTGGTGGCACCGACCCTTTAGGATAGCTTCCGCAACTGAAGAAATAGCCCTGCTTATCCCCTTGGTAAAGTTGTTCAATAGGACGGTCGCCGGCCGTCCAGCTCAAAATGTCAGGTTGGCGCATGCGCTCAATGGCGAAGACCTGAGCGCATTTGTTTTGGATAAAGAAAATGCTGATGACTTCTGCTGTTTGATTTCACTACACATAAGTTATGACCGACTTTAGAACACCTGCAACAATGAACAATAAATCAACGACTGCGCAGCTGCCTGAAAAAGACAAAACAATCATTATTGTTCTTCAGTCACTCCCAAACACACCTCGGACTCTCGTTGTCTCGTCGGCAAGCTAAACTCACTGTACGATCAGTCCGCGCAACAGATTCTGGATGCTCTGAATGCAGTACTTCGAAGCCTTCAGTAAGCCTCATTAGTCTACAGGGAGCTTCATTACGTTAGTCTTCAGTAAGCCTCATTAGTCTCATATGCCTACAGAGACACATGATGCGCCCTAGATTCGGCGTACACTCCCATGGAAAGCAGCAGTGTTTTTTCTGCTCCCTTCATTCTATCTCCTTATCTTTCAATACCTCATTCCCCTTACCCCAGTGTAGGATTGCAAACCGGAAGCACGTCTGACTGTCTTTCCTGCATTTTCGTTCTGCCTTTCCTATTTACCAACATGCCCTCATTATTCCACTTGTTTTCAGTTGACGACGGGCTTCGTTCCTCATTCGGCGGAATTTCTTGTCTCATCTATCTTAAGGCCATCCTAGAGCTATTTTCAAGTTTAAGCTAAGTACCGATTCAAAATAAGCACCTAAGGTTTCTCCCTTTCCCCTCTGTCGGCTCATGTTCTATGTTCTAATATTTAGCCTTTATTTTCTTCACTGTCTCTTCATTCCTCGTTCCCCCGTGAGTATACCGTATCGGTTGAGGTGTGCTCACGTGACACTTATCGTGCACTTCACACCCCATTTCCTTAACTTTTCACCACATGCACGTGATTTCCTAGCGACAGCAGCAAGCGGCAGCGAAAACCTGCTCCATCGCGACGGCTGCAACCGCATGTCGGCGACAAAGTGTCATAGTTGCTTCAATGAATGGTATCACGTGCATACGAATCAATTGCGAATAGAAGTTTAAAAGTTCTTCGATGATAACATGACGAATTTATTACTATACTATGTGACAACCCACAAACGCATTTCACGATCTTCTTCTTTTTCTCAATCTTTGGTTTAACCACGACAGGCTGCCTATAAGCGTACGCTAAGGTGGCTACGACGCACTTCACATGACGTTTTCGCATTGTAGCAAGTGACCAAACTGTCAAGCTACCGTCGATACATCAAAGCAAACCTTCAATACGAGAATTAGGACAAAATACGGCCGCTCTATCAGTCCCCGCGTGAGTTGAGAATGTAAATAACGTAGTCAATGCCTTGCATCCCTTGAAGTTGACGCGGATAACAAGCATTGAGAGCAAATTGTAACTGAAGCGAGAACCAGTGGCGCAGCCATGTTGCCGGAAATCGCCACGCTGGCTTCCGGGCTCCAAGTGATCTTTTATAATTTCCCAGAAACACACAACGCGACAAGCGGCGGCGACGGATGAGCCTCCGCGAGAGCAAATCTTGTCGCTCGTCGCTGTCGTTTGTCGCTGTCGCGAGAAAATCGCATGCATGTGGTGAGGGATTCACAACTACGGTCATTTTTAAGCAATGTCACTATCTAATATCGGTTACGCAAATGAAACTTACTGAGAGTCACTCAAAATGAATATCTTGCGCTTTGAGCACACTTGGACTCACTCATGTTGGAAAATTACTAGCGCATCCACAAGATGCACGTGCCCTGTTGTGGACAGTATGAAAGACGACGACGAAGTGACAGAGAGACTGGTGTAGTATGGCCAGTGTGGCATTTTAGTTTAGCCTGTGTGGCGTGTATTTTAGTAGGTGTTAGTAAATTACCCTCTTTATTACGAGGTCGAAAATTACAATTCAGAAGTGAGATCGACATCCAAACGCCACAGTGAGATAATGAGTTTGGTCAGTCTTCGAAGCCTGTTGACGTTGCCATATGGAACGCACCGACAACAGAGACAACCGACTGGCGGTGGACACACTACTTCTAGCCATTACGACAATATCTTGACTCATGACCTATCCCATGTTCTCCAAGAAAAGGATCGACTACTAGAAACCCTGCTGGAACGACTGTATGTGGCTGCGTGGCGCAACCTCACCAACGCCAATGTTCCGGGCGATTTCAGACTTCAGCCACAACATCAGTGCCTTCGCTGGCTCCGAGGACACTCCATGGGCATGCGAGTAGATCGAGAACATTTGTCCCACGTCTAACCTTCACGGGTGTCCAGTTACCCACACGATTGAAACAGCCAAGGCCTATTGATAGGAGCTGCCAGGGACTGGTACCGTTCGAAGAGTTCTCATATCAAGTCGTCGGAAGACTTCGAGGTCCATTTCGTTGTACTTCTTCAGGCAGACTCCCGTTGCAAAATGATGGCGCAGGCTTCGACAGCGCTTGCAGCAGTCTAACGAAAACAGGACTGCCTACTTGAATGCCAAGTTGGGTCTTGGCTAAGAACTCAACCTGGAATTTATTGATACGTGAGAGCGAGTTCTCTCGGATATGAGTTCTCACAAACTCTGTACTATGGTCTTGGGTATATTTATGACGATGTCAACGACCTACTGCACGACATCTTGGAGCTCGAACGCATCGAACTAGAACGACAACGAATTTGCGGCACATGCAACCGAAGCCTGAAACTACCATCAGGTTTGGAACACTGCCTGCTGGCTACCACGCAAAAAAATTGACTACCGACGTGAACCAAGAAACGGAACCATGCCAACCAATGCCGCCCGTCAACCGACACGTCACACCACAGCCCGAAGCCTAAGTGACACGCCGTCGTCTGCTCCCAACAGAAAGCTCCCAGGCAGAAATAGAGGACGCCCCGAGTCTACAAGAACTGGAAGTCGTGTGATATGCCAACCCCAAAGTATACGCGATCCCGTGTCAAACAAGCCCTACCATATGTAGAGAAATTCGGAGGCAGCGAAACGCCGAAAACAAAGGTAGGCGAAGAACCGAAGCCGAATATGTCTGCCGGAGAAACAGGAAACCCGAAAAACAAGGAGACAGCTG